AAAAACGCGCCTGATTTAAATGTCACACCTGAACACTCACATCCTTTTAATTATGTTTGAAATTATGAACATTGCTCAACATCATGAAAATTAAACCTTATTTTCAATAAGCAATCCTGAAAAATATTTGGGGGTGCTTAACTTTTTCCAGGTGTATATGTTAAATTGGAATAGAAAGTGGTGGCATAATTATGCCTACTGAAGAAAGTAATAATGCATCATTCCTCATTTTGATAAGTTATTTAAGTTATGATAAGTTATTCAAGAAAGAACAAGTTTCTTGCAAACTGGTAAGTTAATATATATATATTTCATTTTTAAAATGTTAATGTAAATGCCATGTTCTTCTTATTAGGTATACTTTTCCCTTTTTGCTTTTTCTTATAAATACCTATTAGGTTTATGATGTGAGCCTTGATATCAATAAGTACTTGTCTCAACTTAAAACAGATAGGAAACCTTGTTATGGGGGTACTTTTAAAGTGGATCTTATCTTTCAGTTGAGCCAGCACCCAGAAAAGTAACAAACACATACAATCTTTGGGGGTATTTGTACCTTAATTACTCTAGACACCCTTGAAGATATTATTCTCATATCTGGTAAGCTTAAAATGAGCATATAACATTTTAAACCATTTTTTAAATTTCTGAATATTATACTCATAATTGTTCTATGTTATATACTAATTTAAAAAAATTAATTCTTGTTACAGAAATGTGAACATAACTCACTTCAAACATTAAAGTTCCACCAAAATAAATACTGGTGATTGTTCAACAGACATTCAAACCTGTATTTCTATGAATATGATATATATATTCTAGATTTAATCCAAACCTGGAAAGGACATAATTAAACAAAATTTGAAAACCCATCTCATAAAAACTCGTAAGTAGTAACAGCATATAGTACTGAAGGATGAATATCAAAAATGACAGATAGAAAAAAAAAAAGAATTATGGCCACTGCATTACCTGGGCACAGTGTGGAACAAATGACAGCATCCTTGAAGAACATGACATTGAAAGAGTGAAAAGTCAATTGCAAGTTCACTTTTTTGGATACACATGTTGCCTTAATAGAAAGAAAGGTTGCACAAAAGAAACAACCAAAACAACCATACTCAGTAAAAGGACAAAATCCAGAAATATAACCAAACAAAGAGTAACAAATACTGCATGAAAGCCCAGGCCAAGTTACAATGTTGGAAGCATGTTAAAACAACTGCAGAGGCTGTAATTCATCAACCACCTAGATGCATGCTGTAGACTAGACACAGAAACGTATAAAAACGCAGACTACACTAACCTGGCAGTGGACGGAGATAATCCTTTCAAATCTTCTAACTTTACTTGCCTACAAAAATAACATAAAACATACAATAATAACACTGTGTATATAATGCTAAAATATAAATACTTACCTCATAACCATTTTCTACTTGTTACAGTTTTCGTGCTATAACTTTTAAATTAGTAATCGAATGTTAATGAAATTTAGTACATTATCAGTAAACATTACAATGCCTTCATACACAAAATATTAATTTTTTTTATTAACTCTTAAGGTTTGTAAAGCAATGTCTCCTCATGCCTTTTGTTTTTTAATATTAAAATACTTTTATGCATCAGAAAATTTTCAAATTTCACACACAAAATCTTTATAATGTTCAGATAGTTATCAAACTTTTCTTAAGAAAACACTTTATATTTTATCTGTTATTTTCAGTAATGAATCTCTGTACAGGTTCGGTAGATTTGACCAATCTCATAACCATAAAAGATTAGGAAATATATAAATTATGCATCTTTCATTTTGGAATGAACACAAATTAGAACACAAAAACATAAATGTTTAGACTAAATAGCTTAGATCTCATAACATTATACATTTATATATATACTTATTATTTTTATTATATTGACCTTTTAGCTATGCCTGGCTAACAATACAGAAGTTACAATGATGAGGCTCACATGCACTTATGTTACCGTATCAAATAACATAAAACTGACCTTTGGTCTGTACAAAGTAATTGTCTTGGCTGTGTTTTAGTAG